ATTAAGTATCAGAATCTCATGAAAGCTATTAAAATAAACTTTTAAAAAGCAAAAATAAACAAAAGTAATATTCTGCGAGTTGTATGAGTACATAGAACCTAAGTTGGGTTTTTTATAAGCAATCACTCGTTTGACTATTAAATGTTGTTTTGTTTATGAATCTTAGAAACGGGTTTTCAATCTAAAGAATACTACAGAATACTAAAGAAGACTACTTTACGGACAATCACTTGTATTTGAAAATGAATTATTTAATCATAGAAATAATTGTCTATCAACTTGAAATAGGTGTTTGACAAACTCAACATAAAATATAGTATTGAAAATGATGAGCAATGTTTCATGAGTGGAATTGCAGTAAACTGAACTTGTTGTGGGTATAGTTGTGGGCATACATAGATGGCAGAGCACAGTGAATACAGTGTGGTATGTGTTAGGCACATGCGCTCCTCATGCACAAATATTCATAACTACATTCTGGCTCTAATTTGCTGTAATAGTAATACAACTTGCAAGTCCAATACTCCACTCACAGTCAGACCTACTGTAGTACTGTATCCCTTCGCACACAACTATAGTGTGTTAGTCATCCATGAGTAGAGTGGAGACACAGCACATCTCATTTGATCCAAGCATCCAAATAATCATTGTTATTGAAATGGGCTAATAGGTTGACACTCCAGTCACTGTCCACTCCTTTAGTGTAATCCCTAATAAACCTTTAATATAGTGAAATAAATGCAATTTTATGATAGAGTATAATAATGGTCAAGACAATCATTTACTAAATACACGTTCATAACAGTGTACAACAGGTAAAGTTGTCACAATTGCTATCAATATAAAGTACTACAGAATTGATTAAGATTTCATGAGACATACTCATACCTGTAATTACAAATAGTGATATTTGGACCAAATTTGTCCTTAAATTCCTTGAACGGGATATCTCTGGTTTGAGTCAATTTGTGGTATTTATAGAGACAATAGTAAACAACTGTTATTTCGACCCAACGATTATTGCCTTCACATAGCAGTGAGAAAAGTGAACAAAAATTAATTCAGTGTCCAATGGTTGACACAATTGGTCTCATATTTACTGTCATTCATAATGATTCCGATGGTATCGACAAACGTATAGATTATATCTTTGGGATCAACTCTCAGTTCTTGTAACTGTTTGGCACTTAGTTTTGGCAAATTGTCACGGATTTCAGTCAACGCCTGAAAATGTGGTCAATTATTATCATTAAAATAATGGCTAAAATGGCAAACATTTGAGGACCTCATGGGTGACGAGCCCTTTCAGTGAATCCGTGTCCCCATCGGCCAAACGATTGGAGATGTGGACCAAAGCCTACGAAGACATATACGAGTCATATGTCATCATATCTTAGATGACACTCATATACCACTCACTTGTTTGGATCCGTCGACAAACTCTTGTAAAGTGAAGTGATTGTCAAAATAGGGGGCAATTATGGTATGGATTGTAATCCAGTTCTTAATTCGGGACCAAATGCTGGGGAAAACAATTGGTTTGAATGTCATTAAAGGGGGTTTCAAACCATTATTATGATTGTGTTGATCATCACTCAATTGTCTCCTCATGAGTGCATAACTCTTGTGGCACTGTTTGGTCGCATTGAGCACTGATTTGCCATTCAATGTATGCAACAATCGGTTCATTGACTGCAATGCATGTGAAGTGCATTTGGTTTGTCTCCAAATCAATACATTTCTAGCAATTAGTCTTAAATTCATAGCAATTCACACAAACTATTGACAATCACTTCACCAAAACATTGCCATATGATTGTGAACAAACAACGTCCCATATGTCACTTATTGCCCCCTATGACCCCCCTTTGTTACTTATATCATATCATAGTATTACATTGTATTCATTTTGTTCTAGCTACAATTTTTATATACTGCATTCACACTATAATAGTATTCTAGAAATTATAAATTAGTGCATTAGGAATATTTGATATTTAAGTTTAAATTTTAAGTGTAATTCTCACATTTGATTTGACAACAAAGAAAGTTTTGCAATCTCTTTATAAAAGCTAATAAAAGTTGTTTTTACCAAAATTATTAACGTTTTAAGTAAATTTAATACTGTATCATAAAATATAACACTATCAGACTGATAGTATCAGTGATAATATCTATCACAATAACAATACTTGAAATTGATGAGTATTCTCGTATTCAATGTGAATATATTTTTTTAAAAATTTATAAGTTTTTAAAAGTTTGAGATACTGGAGATAACAATTTGAGACTTATTAGGAATTAAGATTTTACTATTACTTAAGTATAAGTGTTATAAAACATATTACTTAAATATAACACGTTAAAGCAGTTCAACAGTGATTTTAAGATAATTACTTATTTTTCCATAAAATTAACTTTAAGGTATTGACAACAAGTTAAAAACTAAATTATAATCTACAGTATATACCTTGACCCTATTATAGAATTTATCATTATTAATATAGCAATATATTTATTTTGTTAATTTATTGAAAATCTTTGAGATTTGCTTTCTCACAAATCTTCTTAACTATAGACACATTAGTGGAATTGAGACAAGAATTCGTTTCTTTGTGTAAAATTATGAAAACTTATTATAAAAGTTGAGACAAATTGAAGGTTAACTCCGCTCTCGTATAATGTGTACCATTTGTGTCCAATAATAAACTTAATGGCCTTAAAATCGATCCCCAAATCTAAGAATCTATTTTAAAACCTTCAATACTCTTAATACTTCAATTGTAAACATATTTACTGTGTATATGAAACGAGTCAAACACACTATTAGTTATTAATGTAAAGATTTCTAATTATTATTTCAAAAACTGTTTCAATTGTTCCCAAAATAAATGTCGCATTTATAAAGCAAATGATGTACAATTTTTATAAACCAGATCATTTATTAATGATAAACAATACATTGATTTTAAATTAGAAGTTAGCTTACAAGTTAGAATATGAGTGAGTGAGTGAGAGAGAGAGAGAGAGAGAGAGAGAGAGAGAGCTTGGTTAAATAAGTTTTTATAATTTTATAAGTTGTGAATAATTTGGATGATTTAGCCCGAAAAACATGTTTTGTGCGTTTGTGACCAACAAATGTGTGAATGTTTGGGTCATTTAAATGTTTTGGATGGAAGTGCATATTTTGGTGATTTTAGTACTGAATGGTAGTAACAAAGGACTGGTAGGACAAAGCAGGTGAGGAGAGGCCGGTTCGCTATTCACATGCACTGCACACCTATTTTGGATTATTGTCTGCTTAAGAATGTTATGCACTAAACATAAGCCAATGGCTATCGTAAGCAATACAACATATGAAATGTGAGGACTTGTATTCACGACTCCTATACCTCTCTCCAAACGGATCTAACTTTTGTGAACACAATGAGCCCATAGGTTATCCCCTATGGCTGTCCCCTATGAGTGCACTTTTCCTACAAATACACCTTTCTTTCTGTACTAACATAATAACCAAGTCTTGCATTAAATGTAATACAGGTATTCATACCTTCATTGGGACTGCGAGAGAGAGAGAGAGAGAGAGAGAGAGAGAGAGAGAGTTTGGAGAGAGTATGGAGAGAATGTTGCGGAGAAGTTGTTGGTAGACTCGTTACAGACTTATAGTTAGATTTGCTTTTCTTTGTTGTCTTTGGTGTAGTTCAACGAAAAGTTGTTTGAATGGAATGGTAGTCATGTCTTGAGCGCTGAGTTGGTTGAGTCAGTTCAAGGGCGACACCGATTCTCAAGCCATGAATGGATGCATTGGTGGCAATACCTCCTCTACAGCCTTCTCTACAGTCAATGCTATCACTGGAACTGCAATTTCTGAGAAGTCCAGCGCTTCAGTGCTTACAGAAACGACTGGCTTTGGGAGCTATACAGCGGACGTCATAAAAGTTTGTTGAGAGGAGAGAGAAAAATGAGACGAGGGGTAGGGGTAGGGATTCAACACCACTGCATACTATCATACCATCGTGTATGCATACACTGCTGTTCAGTAAATGACATTTTTGAAAAATATTTTGTTAACACTATCACTAATATTTGTTCAGAAATTTACAAATAATTATTTATATAATTTATGTCTTATTACTTAATACTGTTTGGATTCTTGCATCAAACACTTGTTGTGCTCAACACATAGTAGTTAGAGTCAAATGTTTTCACTATTTTCCGATTCTTTGGACAAATTGTGGTCCTTTTGTTCAACTTTTCCCTTATTTTCGGATTTCACACAAGAGTTGCCTTTTTTCGTAAACACTATTATTGTCTCCTTTTCCTGGTTTTCAGTGTTTATAAAGTTTCTAAATTTTGCCAAAACTTGGGCTTCCATTCAATTCTTTAAAAGCAAACCTAACAAAAATTGTCACTATTTTTTAAGCTATGCTCCAATAGTAGACTCAAAACAAAAACACGACTCGAGACAATATTCATGTACTCTCAGCTTAAATTTCAATTTAATGTTAATTATAATAACAGACACCATATTATAATTATAATTTATGTGTATAAATATTTAATGAAAAATGATCATTTAGTCAATACATTAAAATCGACTCATGTTTAGGGGAATAGTATTCCTTTGTCTCTCAATACCAGTGCCACAACTTTTGCCAAATAATTTCACTTCAATTCTATTGACTTCTATTATTGACCTACAATTTCATTCAAAACACCCGTCTTTGTATTGAGCACTGGTTTTGGGGGACATATCCATTGGAGGGCCTCTCCATTACGGGGGGTATTCTCAGAACTTACACAAAGACAACCCCCTAAATGGACAATCCCTTATTTGTTAATCACTTCTAATTAATAATTTAACCAGTCATAATATAATTAAGGTATTAAAATTTACCAATGCATATTACACTATCATATACTGTATCCCTGAATTTTTTATGTAAAAAACGCGAAAAGTTATTCATTTGATAATTCTCAGACTATATTTATAAAAATAAAACAATTAAAACTTGCATTACAGTAAACTTACACGTAAATTATATTTATATAACATTTTTATAATTTTCATTATGTATTTTTTAATACTTTTTAGTAGTGCTAAAACAATTTATAGTTTAAATAAACAAATGTGCGAGTGTTTGACAATTAAGTATCAGAATCTCATGAAAGCTATTAAAATAAACTTTTAAAAAGCAAAAATAAACAAAAGTAATATTCTGCGAGTTGTATGAGTACATAGAACCTAAGTTGGGTTTTTTATAAGCAATCACT